CTTTTAGGTTGTTTGACTACAAATGAACCTGAACTTATAGATAATTTAGGTTGCAATAGGTGGTTTTAATAAAGAGGGAATTTTCATAATGTATTTGTACTTTGTTTATTTTTTTATTTTTTATTTAATTTAATAAAGTGAAATTAGATTTATGTAAATACAATTATAGTAAACTGTAATACAAATAGTAAATTCAGTGACCAAATCGTATAAATTTCGTGATAAAATCAGTGATCAAATCATGTAAATTCCATATAAATCCCGTGCAAATTCCGTATCCAAACCATATTTTTGGTGATACGGAATTGTGCATTTTTCCGTATCCTATTATGATACGTTATTTCTAAGGAAAAAAAATCGTATAAAAACTTTATAAAAAACGTATCCAATTTTTTTATAGGGTTACTATCAGGTATTAGCTGAATGAAGTAATAGGAATTTTTTATATATATAATTTAAATATGAATAAAATAATTTTTAAGGTTGATAAAATAATTTCTTATTCAAAGTTATGACTTTTATTAACGGTTTAGAGTCAAATATCAAAAAAGTATAATATACATTGATAAATCCTTTCGTGAGTTTCGTCCATATATAAATATTCCATAAAATGATTTTTCACGCCAAAAATCATGCTATTTAGTATATTTAGTAACATGAGAAATAAAAACAACAAAAACTTGTAATAAATTAATTAATTTTTTAAATAACTAATTCAAAGAATAGAAAACTAACGTAAATTTAAATAGGGATTTAATTTTACTCATAAATCATAATATAATTTGTATGTTATTTTTTAAAATTTTATGGGTGAATTAAAACTAAAGGCGGAAAGATGATATTTTATGAAATCCGGGACAGTAATTTTCTTTATAAAAAGAAAGTAACTCTGAGACAAATTTATTGATAATTATATTATAACGGAATATTTAATAATATTCACAATTCCAACTAAATATTTTCAAGATAAACCGAAATTTTATTTTGGCTTAAGTCATGACCAAGAGTCTTCAAGCAACCATTAAAATATTATTTTTTAATAATAACTGAAATATAGTATAATTTGAAATTTTCTTAAAGCTTATTTGGAGTCTAAAAAAAAATAATAGTAGGCTTTAAATAATAGTGATTTTTATTAAAAACTTATTTAACCTTTTAAATCTTATTTTTAAAAAAGTTTTAGAGATTTTAAATTAATTAAATATCCGATTAAATTAATTAAATACATATCAGATATATCCTAAATAACTATAAGTAAATTAAAATGTCTATTTCTGTTGACTTTCATAATTATTAGCTGTAACTAATTTGTCGTGTTTGCAGCAGGATTAATGAGTAATATAATTTATTTGGATTATAATGTGGGTGAAAAATAAAATTTTACTATATAAAATAAATAAATATAATTTAAAAAAAATTATTAATTTTATTATTTTTTTTTTGGCTGGATATTTTTTAAAAATCATTTATTCTATCCTAACTAAAAAAAGAAATCATATAAAATATATTTATTTATTTCGATTACATAGCAGTACCTACTTAAAAGGCAAAAAAATTAGGAAAAAGAAAGTAAAAAAAGTTAACCAAGAAATAAAAAATTATTAGTGCTTGCCGTAACACCGCAGTATTGATCCAAACTTAAGCGGTGAAGGAACAAAAAACATTAGGAAAAAAGTATTATTATTTAAAAATTAACGTTCTGCTAAAGGAAAAAATGGAAATAAACTTATTCGTTAGTATACTTTCTTTTCGTTAGTATTATAGAAAAAATCCGATTAAAATTTCATTAACCGGAACTGGATTACCGATTCATGACCCTATTAGTATATCATGCGTTTCACGTTATACAATTCAATTTATTTATACGGGCTTAATTATATAAATTATTTCAAATAAAATAAAATAATATTAAAATGATATACTTGTGACAGCACAAAAAATTGCCATTACGAATATTTTTTTTATCCTTTAAATGATGTTTTTGCTTTAGCAAAATCATAAAATTTTGATAATTTACGAGATTTTGCAGTATTCAAATTAATAGTATTTATTATGACGAATTGACGAGATCTGGAATAAAATTTTAATACGTTTAATTGGCCTTACAAAATAATTTTTAAGCTTTGTTTCATATTTAGAATTACTTTTACCCATTATTATTGTTCAAATTCTCATTGTTTCTTTTCACTGTTTATTCATTTCCTTTCTAATTTGTGTAACATTCTGTTTTCATTATTACCTTCTATGATGAAATAATATTTACGCCTAATACTTAAAATATTTCAGCTAGTTTGTCTTAATAACTAAATAAGTAAAAAATAATAATGCTGATGCATCAACTTTATGCATTTGCTCTTCGATAAAGTATTTCTAAATTTAAAACGAACTTTCCGTAATAACACAAAATTCCATAATATTTTCTTTATCATTAAACAATCATTTCAAACTGTATTATTCAGATATAAATAAAAATATAAATAAATATCAATAAATACGTCCAAATTTTCCAAATTCATTATTGTTATCGATACTTGATTAATTAATATAGTGAAATGGAACTCGTAAATACAAATGATGAAAATTTTTTTGACCCAACACCAAGATTAAAATCTAGTCCTATACCAATTAAATTTATTTCTTTTAATAGAAATGATGAAAAATGCTTTAATTGTGGAAAAGAATATATTATGACGCTTTTTTGTCATGATCAAAAATATTACAAAAAATGTCTATCGCGTTATATTAATGGTATAACTGATAATAATACTATATATATACTTAAACATATATTATACAATGGACTCGAAATGTAATGAACATAAAATAAGCAAAGCAAAAATACCACAAAGTATTCAAGAATGCTGTAAAATTTGTTTGAGAATCTTAAGTTTCAAGCAAATAGAAGGATGCTTAGATAACCTTAATTATCTTGATAAAAATAGTCTCAACATACTATATAATAGGTTAAAACGTTGTCAATTATGTGGAGAGTCATTAGATGAACACATTAGAGAGCAATTTATATTATGCACAAATTGTTTTCTAATTTCATTTGAATGGATAGAATCAACCTTAGTTAAAAAGCAAATTTTAATTCTTTATTTACCATGGTGGCATGACAATTCTAATTGTAATTTGTGTCATTCCGAGTTAACATTTACATCAGATTGTCAAAAGTATTGTGAGGATTGTCATATATCTTATGTTGGATGCAGATATTGTTTAACAACAAACATTATTTTCGGACTTACAGGCCAAACTCAATGTAAAAAATGTAAAAGAATATCACTCATTATATGCAGTAATGTAGATAGGGATCTCGTTGTTTACCTTCTCAATGATATTATATATGATAACTACATAGCTTTTTTTTATATTAGAAATATTGTAAATACAGAGGATAAATATTTTAAACCAAAAGCTCTATTATATTCTATTTTTGAAAAAATATTTGTAAAAAATGTAAAAAATGTTAATAAAAAGATAGTTGAGTGGATACCATATTCTCAATTTAAAAATATAAAAGAAATAACAAAAGGGGGATATGGTATTATATATAAAGCAACCTGGTCAGGTTATAATGAAGAAGTCATTTTAAAAAGATTTGAAAATTCTAAAAATGATATTAAATATTTCATAAATGAGGTGAATATTTTGCGGGTGGTTTTTATTAAATAATTTAATCTTTAATCCTTAATTAAATCTTTAATAAATTATATAGTTAAAATCAAATCAACATTGTAAAAATGGATTTAATGGTTATATAATCGAAGTTTATGGCTTTACAAAGGATCCTGAATTAGGAGATTATTTATTAGTTATGGAATATGCGCCAAAAGGAGATTTACATAAATATTTACAAAAGAATTTTACAAATATTACGTGGAATAATCAAAAACTACAAATTTTATTGCAAATCTCACAAGGGTATTTATATTTAAAAGTAATTATTATATTAATAAAAGTTAGTTATAAACTTTTTTTTTATTTAGACTTGAATATATTCATTATCGTAAATTCATACATCGAGATTTTCATAGCGGAAATATATTACTTAGTATGATTCAATGGAAAATTGGGGATCTAGGATTATCACATCCTATAAATAAATCATCAAATGATGAAATATATGGAGTTATACCTTATATTGCACCAGAAATATTTAAAGGATCTGCATTTTCCAAAGAAGCTGATATGTATAGTTTTGGTATGATTATGTGGGAACTTACAACAGGCTGCAAACCTTTTGCTAATATTAAACATGATATTCATCTTATTTACAAAATTCTTGATGGAGAACGACCCAAAATTACAGAAGATACACCAGAATGTTATGCTAATTTAATGAAAAGTTGTTGGGATCCTGATCCAAATAAAAGACCACTGATAAAAGAAATTTATTTAACTCTTGGTAATTGGTTTTTTAAAAGTAAATATAAAGAAGAATTTATTCAAGCTGAAGAAAAAAGAAATAAACTGATAAAATCAAAGAATATTGGTCCTGAATTTGCTGAAAAAAATCACCCAGAAGCCATTTATACAAGTAGGCCATTAAGTGCTTTTATTTCTAAATGTCTATCCACAAATATATCATCGACAATTTCATTTGGTAATAATCAAGGTACTATTATAAAAAATTTAATTGTAATTGAAAATATTATATACAGAAATCTTTAAAATGCATGTCATTTTCTTTAGATTATGATTATAATTATATTTCGAAAGAAAAAGAGCTTGATATAGAAATTGAAAGGTATTTACATTTATATTTTTTAAATGATACTCTGTGTAACTAATTAAATTAATATTAATATTAATTTGTAATTTAGTTTATCGTCGCAAAATTTAACAATTCAAAATCCTTCAACCTCATTAAAAAAGCGAAACAATGAAGAATTAAACCTTGAAACATATGATAATAGTGGTAAATATCATATTTGTTGTCGTTTATTTTTTCTTTTTGTTTATATTAATATTTATTTTTTTTTCCAAACTTAAAATATTTTAAAGTAGAAAAACGTATTAAATCTAGTTAAAATTCGTTGTATTAATATCATGTGATTGATATCATGTGACTTTGACGACTTCTCTTTTAATTATATCATGCGATATCATGTTACTATCTATTATATTAGGCTTTTTAAAGTATATTATATTTCCCTTATGGCTGGTTCTGGCCACCTCGAACTATCTTCATTCTGGCGGGTGGGCCTCTTATCTTCATTTTAATTCTTATGTAGATTTTATAGATCATAGATTATTTTTTTCTTTTTATTTTAGTCTATTTCTTTTTCTTCTTCTCTTTCGTACAATGCAGGTAATGCCTAGTATTGTTTTATAAATATTGGGCAGTGCGATCCTCGAGAGAGTTGGGTTTATACTTGTATAGTGTAGCATCATAGTTTTTTTGTAAGGGCTCAGCTCCCAGACTTGTATGGTTCCCGTCATTGTTTTAATTTTTAAATAAAATAAAATAAAAATAAGTATATTATATTGATTTTTACGTATTTATAATAAATATCATTTATTTTATTTTAAGAAATATTCGTGTTTTAAATGGATTACATAATCAAAATTATTTGATTAAACAAATATTTCATAAACTTAAATTAAATTCTTATCGAAACTTGTAAAATATATAGTGAGTACCATAAACTTAAATTTCAATAATACTGTAAAGCTTGTAATTGTTAAAAAATAGTATGTTGTGGGATTCCAATAAATGATGTCGAAGTATAATAATTTTCGCTCTTAAAATCAGCATCCATAATTTTTGACATTATAATAAAGTAACGAAAATATATATATTTTATAATGGGAAGGATCGCATACGTAATACTTACACTTGATAATACTGGGTCAATTGCCTGTAAAATTTTCAAGTTAGATGTTAAACTTATAAGGTAAGATAAGTACTTCAAATGTATAACAAATAATTACTTATACAAATGTAATTAAGATATATTAAGTATTATAGATAGAGGCATAATAAAAGAGCAAAAAAATGTATTAGGATGCAAATCAGTTAATTAATCAAATAATTAACCGGTTAATTACATTCGGGTTGAATGTACCGGCTGTTCTGATATTTGTCGCACAATACATTTTACGTAATAATTATATAAACATTTTTTTTTGAAAGTTAAAACAGCTGATTATGCAGCTGGACATGTAGTAACCTTGTAGTAACGGCGGATTATCATCTGTCTCTTATACACATCTAGATGTGTATAAGAGACAGATGCATCACTCAGCCAAAAGTTTGTAAGCTGGTTTGCAGTAACGGATCATGACGTTTCTTATTATTTTTAATAGATAATTTTTGTTTACATTACAGGATGTTAACAAAATATTATTAAATTTATTTATTTCATTTTTTATAAATATTTTAAACGAAGACAAAATAATCAATTTTTAAAATTGGGTAAATTTTCGTTCAATAACATTCTAAATAATTTAGAAATGAATCATTTTTAGCAAAAGAAATAATTTTGATATATTAAATATTTAATAAAACTAAAATAATTGAACAATACATTTTAAGACAATAAATAATTACTAATACTAATTTGATTTAATTTTGTTTTATAATTTTTTTTTTTAAAATCATCATCATTTAAATAATTTAAGTAAATTGTGATTTAATTATAACTGGATTTTCCCATATATTAATGGTATTGCTAAATGACATCATAGTTCACCTGAAAATATCTTGAATAATATTAATGCTCAAATGTTGATTTCAATATTGTCGCACAATTTTAATCAGGCCTACAATGATGTGTTTGTTGTACTTTTTGAGACATCAAATCATTTAATTACCCACGCTTATAATAATTTCAAAATATTTCCTGACTTTTCTTTTTCTTTTTAATTTCAACAAACAAAAAAAAGTATTTGGAGAGGTACTTTTATTATTTATGTTATATATATATCAAACATCATAAATAACTTTCACCTGAGTAAAATTTTTTCGTATGAGTAGTATATTTTTTCTTCATGAGTAATTATATTTAATAATAATAATACACTCTAACATTACATAAACTAAATATATTTACATGAGTAATTTTTTACATGAACTTTTTTTTTTGGTTTCTTAATATTATGTTGCCAAAGAAAAGTAATTAAATCACCTGATTTTCAACCCATTCTAATAATAACAACATAGGATGCTTTGTGTCTTTTATGGATGTGCTATATTTGAAAAGGAAGGAACAAAAAATACTTATATTAAAGTACTGTGTTCAATATTGATGATAAACTTTTTTTTTTTTTGAAAAAAAAAGCAAAAATTAAATCTTGATTGTACCGAATATACCAAATTAAATAGTCAAATCAAATCTTTAAAAATGAAAGCCATTTGTTTACAGGATGAATTGTTGGCCACTCAAAAAAAATTATTGCTTATCAAGGTCTGATAGTTGATAGTCACAAGGAATAAATAACTTTTATGTAAGTCAATGGAATTTGTTGAAAGCCTTCCAAATACAGTAGATTCAACAATTACTCAAGATCAAATTATGTTCAGAGCTTCAATTTGTATTGAAACATCAAAAACTCACTTTAACAAGAAAGATTATTATATAAAAGAACAACAAATGTATTGGCAGAACTTTGAAAGGTTCAATACCAACTTCTAGATTCTACAACTCAGTCTCTTACAACTGTTAGGATATCAACAAATTGATTTAAAAGAACTTCTTAAGGGTGCAAAATTTCTCATAGATTTCAAATGTTAAAGTTTCCCTTCCTGAAAACAATACTATTGTTAAAGGATTGCATTCATGTTTAAATATCATAAGAAATTATTCTAGGTAAATACTATGGAAGTTGTCTGGCAAAAACTTACCATTAAGACAAAAATGAATATGGTAATTTGTTGAAGATATTGAAGCATCTACGATTTCAATAATTCCACTCAATTTACAAGCAAAAATTAATGATCATGATGAGCTTATAGCATTTCTGGAAGCCACTCCTAATCAAAGAATTGAAGAAGAAAAAGATATGTAACAAATGCAAAACTGTAATAAATAGGATTACTGCTCCAAATGGTGACTCGTTTCTTGGACTAGACATTAATGATGATTGTAATGAAAATCTGAATGAAGTACATCAGAGTAAAAAGTGGAAAAATAGATCTCTTACAGAAAAACAATATGAGAGTGCAAAGAACACACCTTTTGTAGCCTAGATGATATAAAGAAAAGGCTTGGCCTGTTTACTTCCCTGTAAAAAAAGTCAATCTGTTTTTATATTCCATAAAAGGCTCATATTTCCGGAAATAGTAACCTTATATCACGGAATTTATTGATTTATTTACATTTTCCGTGCATCACTTCTTTTCGTCTCCCATCACTCCTCTTCGTCCCCAATCACTTCTTTTCGTCTCTCATCACTCCTTTTGTCTCCCATCATTTCTTTTTGTCTCCCATAACTTCTTTTCCCATCACTCCTTTTCGTCTCCCATCATTTCTTTTTGTCTCCCATCACTTCTTTTCGTCTCCCATCACTCCCTTTCGTCTCCCATCAATCCTCTTCGTCTCCCATCACTTCTTTTCGTTTCCCATCACTCCTTTTTATCTCCCATCATGTCCTATTTCTCCTTTTTGTTTCCTATCACTTCTCATTGCTCTTTTTTACTCCCTTTCATCTTCTATTACTTTCCATTAATCCATTGTTATTTCATTTTTTTATTAGCATCTTTCTCCTGGATCATTATAATTTACTTATCTTTTTATTTATTGTTATTGTTTTTTTTATTTGTATCACTTCATTAAAAATAAATATGGTGATTTTTTTCTTTAAAATCGTAAATGTGTGACTTAAATTTTAATATTTACAAATAAAATTTCATTAAATAAGATTATTTTGAATTAAATATGTTTGCAAAAAAAAATTTTTAAAAATATCTTCGCAATAAAATTTTAAGTTTAACCGATCAAAAATTAGCTAAGTTAAAACAATCAGCCATCGGCCGATTAATAAATTTACTCTATATATTGTGCATCATGTGACAATTGTGACATATTTGAAAAAAACCCAGACGATGATCGCCCAGGTGATGTTTAGCAATCGGGTGATTTGTCACACGATATCATACGTAATAATTTATAAGAAATTTTTTTGAAACAGTCGATCATGATAATCATGTACAAACATGTAAAAATAATCTGTTCCGTGCGACAAACGGTGTTGTCGCTCCGAAATTCCCATAAATTTTTGACGTAGCTTTTTTAATTTCAGAAACCCCTTTTCTTATTTTCTCCTTTCGACTAAAAATATGGCATGTTCAAAGTTATTTTTAGGAGATTTACCTGAGTTAGTAAACGAAATTATACAACATTTTCATTATGATTACAAAACATTACATTCATGTATATTAGTTAATAAATTATGGTGTCATTTAGCAATCCCATTATTATGGGAAGATCCATTTTCACTTAAATTACCTAAAAATTATCACTTTATTGAAATTTACTTATATAAGCTAAACGATGATTACAAAATAAAACTAGATGAATATTTAACTCAAAATGATATATTTCCTTCAAATACGCTATTTAATTATCCTAGTTTTATTCAACGTTTAGATGCATATGAAATCATTAATTCTATTAATGAGTGGGCTAGGACTATTGAAACTTCAAAAACTAAAGCGCAACGTTCTGGCTATTTTATGCGAAATAAATTATTACCTTTGCAAATGATAAATTTTACAAAGTTAATATATAAATCATTATTTATAATATTCATTGAAAATGAAGTAAATTTGCATAGTTTTGAAGTTATGTTGTTTAACAATACAAAATTTGAATATTTTGATGAGATTCTTGAATTAATATTACAAAATCCGAAATTCATTTGTAATATTAAAAATTTTGAAATTAATTTTTATGAGGTAACTGAAAATACAAGAATATTTACAAAATTTCTCTACTCTAATTGTAATTCAATTTCATCACTTTATTTGCAATATTCATTTTATCATTTTCCAGTGACTGAAAAATGTTCATCGTTATCACAAATTATTCAATCTCAAATAAATCTTAGAAAACTTTTTCTTGGTTGTCAATTTCCTTTGCACCAATCACTATCATCTTTAATTAAAAATCCTAATTGTTCAAATACTTTAAATACAATTATATTTTATTATGTTGATTTTAAAAATATACTTATTTTGAGTGAAGCATTTAATCACTTGAATGTTTTAGAATCAATTCATATTATTTATTGTCGTTCTTTAGATTCTAGATTTATTCAGCAAATTAATAATATCACTAAACCTTTTAAATTAAAATCTTTATTTTTGAATGAAATATTACAAACTGAAGAATTGTTAGTACAAAAATCTTGCGATTATTTAGAAAATTTTGGAATTATAGGCAGAGAACCACAACAATTACTACAATTAATTATAAAATATTGTAGCAAAATTAAATATTTGGGTCCTATTTCAATGAATAATAAGTGTAGTTATTTATTATTAAATTTAGTTGAAAATATTACACAAAATCTTGATTATCTTTTTATAGAAACTTCCATTAGTGATATTAGTTCAATTATATTAAAAAATTTAGGTCAAATTCTTCCTCATAAATTAGAATATTTGCATTTGAGTCTTTCAATTGATAGAATTGATTTTGAAATATTTTTAAAAAATTTTCAAAATACTTTTGTTAAAAAATTGGTAATCAGAAATAGAAGTAAAGGAAAAAATGGTGATATTTTCCCTTCTATAAAAGAATATATTATGAAAAAGAAAAGAGTCAAATATTTTGCTTTTTCAGAAATTAAATATTCAAGAATTGATGATTTGTTTTTTCTAAAAAATAAGGTAAAGGAATTTGAATTATATGATATTCAAGTTTTATGTTATAGGGATTTATCTATTGATATTTATGATTTTATAAAAGAAGTTAATTAGTTATTTATACAAATTAGACTGTTTTATATTATATTATTATCATGAAATTATCAGTATATGTAAATTGTATTATGTATAAATATTCTGATTTGGGATATAATAAAATTTTGGAACTCCTTAAGAATTAACTTAAATTGGAATATCACGAATAAAATAAACTTTAACAATTTAATTTTGCTTTGTCATATTTCATTCAATTTATGCAAGTAAATATTAATGAAGTGGTAATTTTTAGGGAAATTCTTTGAACACGCATATTCCTATAATAGAATCGTCAAATGACACCATAATATATTAACTAGGATACATGAATGTAATGTTGAAAAATCATTTTGGAAATACTGTATAATTTCAACTTGTTAATTCAGGCAATTGTCTTAAAATATTTTTGAACATGCAATATTGTAAAAAAGAAAAGGAGGAATATTATATATTAAAATTTCCAATTAAAGTATATTATTATGTTTCGGATTTTGCTATCCCGTATTTGGACACAACAGATAGCTTTTAGATCACTCGATCTAAACGAGGATTTACTTGCAAGGGATCCTTAACGTTGTACCCGGGTATAAGTATCATCCTATGCCCTTTTCCTTAAATAAGATTGGCTCAAAATGTGGTACAATTGATCATTATTTAGCCACAAAAATTAATTGGATGTTGTTATTATTTTTGTACAATATATCTTTGAGAAAATATTGTTTCGCGTACGTGAAAAAATGCAAAGAATAATTTCACAATATTTACAATATTTTAATTTTAAATATAATAAAGACTCAAAATTTTAGCATTTTTTAATTTTTAACATCTTAAATCAAATAAAATGCTTTATAATTATATGGTCTATAAAATTTTAATAAATAGATATAAAAAAATTTTTAATAACATTTGTATAATTCTATACCTATTGAACAACTTTCTTCAATATATAGTAATATAGACGAAGTAAAAATGGTATGATTTTAGTACGTAATTTAATTATTTATTTTTAGTTCTTTTCTTTTATGAAAATTATTATCTTTATTTAATTTAACAAAATAGGGTATAAAGATTATTTATCTATTTAATAATGAGTTTATCGCGTTCGATAGTTATATTATTTTTATTCAACATAACATTCATTATTTTATTTTTGTAATCTATTAATAAATAAATTATTTAGGAATAGAAATTCCCAATCTATAGCTATTTTAATTATGTAATTCTTGAGGAATTTCAGTAAAAATAAAGAAGTTTTATGTAAAGTATCTACAGTAACCATATATATATTGTATTGAGTAATTTATATTAATAACACGCTATTATGATCTCACCATACTCTCAGCATCCAAAGAGCGAAAATTCCAGGTTATTCAATAAGCGGTTTATTTTAAGGTATCTGTCAAAGCGTGCTTGCCCAATTTTAATTATCGTAAATATTTATTGATTAACTCAATGGGAAAGTTCTTGTTATTCTTCAAAAGTAGAATCAACTCTTCCCACAGAATTTTAAAGTATCTCCATAAAGTAGGTATAGAAACTTCTCCAGTTTTATTAATCATTTCTCGTTCAATTTCATCAAAATAATAAATAATTTGCTGTAAAATCTAAAAATAAAATAACGAGATTGAACGTTAAAATTCGTTATAAAATAATGATAATATAATTAACAAACCTTCATATCACTAAAAAATTTTTCCTTTTCTACACGTTGCAAATGGATTTGTTACGAATTGCATCTTTGATATAAATACTTAGCTAGTAGTTGTGAAATTATTTGTAAATTACAGAAAAATAAATACACTACCTTCCATTTTATATCCTCACTTATAATACGTCTTATTCCTTGAAGAAAAACATTAATTAAGCTACTTCTTTTGTGATTTGCAAGTTTATATTGTAGAGTTAATAAAAGAAAGCGTGACTTAAAGTGAGATTTTGAAGTAAAACTATAAGTATAGAATCACTTATTTTATAATAAAGAGTTAGGTGAAACTCGAGAATATTATTTTAAATACATTATTTTAGTCTCCTGAATCCTGAATGTAAAACCAAAAATTTTTTTTTATATTTGAATTTCCTGATGATCGACAGATGATCGTAATAGTTAGGACCACTAACCAGTTTTAGCATTTTTGAAGCAGTGTATCATTTTGTCGATCTGTATTACACTAATGTCGTGCATGCATAAATTGAAAAAAAATCTTTTTCACCGCAATATTTAGCCCTTCTGCTGAGTGGCACCTTTTTTATTATCCATTCTATAAAGTAAATTTATCTATTGAACTATGATCTATAAAATATGTAAAGAATGTGAAAAAGAAAATAATAAAAATAGATGGTGTAAAGAATGTAATACAAAACATTTTCAGCAAAATTTTAAAAATTGGACTAGTGGTAATAATGATATTGACAAATTTATTCAAGACACTCAACTATCAGCAACTAATTATGAGAAAGTTTTAGAGTGGATACCTTACAATAAATTATATGATATTGAATATATTGCGAAAGGCGGTTTTGGAAAAGTTTATAAAGCAAAATGGATTGATGGATATATTAGAAGTTGGGATATAAATGAAAATTGGAAACGAGATTGTTCCAATTGGCTTGTAGCACTGAAAAGTTTAAATAATTCAGAAAATGTTACATCAGAATTTATCAATGAGGTATTACCCAATTTCTTAATTTAATGAAATTTTTAAATTGCGATTTTACTGATGGATTTATAAAATGTATATCTAGATAAAAATGCATTGTATGGCTAGAGAATACCAAACAGTTTCTGTTATTAGAGTTTATGGAATTACACAAGACCCAGAAACAAAAAATTACATGATGGTTTTGCCATATGCGGAGGATGGAAGTTTAAGAGCTTATTTAGATAAAAATTATCATGAATTATCTTGGGAAACTAAGATAGGATATTTACACCATATTACATCCGGACTTAAGAGTATTCATAATAATGGACTAACTCATCGAGATTTACATATTGGGAATATACTTAGTTTTGGTTTTGTATCTCAAGTTATGATAACTGATATGGGATTATGTAAACCTGCAGATTATAATGCATCGGAAAATCCAAAAAACAGTATATATGGTGTTTTACCTTATATTGCTCCTGAAGTTTTAAGAGGACAAAATTATACTAAAGCTGCTGATATTTATAGTTTTGGTATAATTATGTATGAGGTAATTTCTGGACTACCTCCATACCATGATGTAAGCCATGACAAAAATTTATCAATAAAAATTTGTCAAGGACTTAGATCAAGATTTAGTAATATTAAAGTACCCCAATTGATTGTGAATTTAGTCAAAAGATGCTTGGATGCAAATCCAATAAATCGACCGGAAGCAGTAGAAATTTACAATATCTCATGGCAATGGTTTATTGAAAGTCGTGATTTTAAATTTAATAATAATAAAACAGAATTACTAAAACAAATTGAAGAATCAGAAAAAATTAATAATAGTAGTATACCAACTAGCAGCATACCTTTGACAAGTTTATCATACGAAACACATTCCGAAGCTGTTTATACAAGTAGATTACTTAATTTTAATAATCTTCCTGAACCAAAAAATTCTGATGATTATTACAATGAACAAAATGACAATATAATTAGTGAAAAATTTTCAGGTAAATAATGCAATAATTTTGTAAATATATAAATTTAATATATAAAAAATATTAATATATTCTTATCTTATTAAATAGAATCTTTACAAATTGATATTTCTCAATTGAAAATTAATGAAAGTTAATAAAAATGGTAAATTTAAACATACGGTATATTAATTAAACTCTGATTTTTTATTCGTATATTTAATTAAAAATTCTATTTTAGGTTAAAATAGTAAATCTAAAGGGATCAGACTATTTAGATTGAAAGTAATATTTTGCATAGTTCGTGATATGTTATCGTGAGCAAATTTTCATCAACTTTTTTTTTTTTTTTGTATTAATTTTTTACAAATTTCTATTTATTATTATATTAAATGAATTTTTTATTAAATAAAATTTTCGATCATATATAATCATATTAATCATGTTATTAATTTAAATATCAAGTAACGATATATAAAAATATTTACATTAATTCTTGATAATTTACTGATTTGGGTTTCTTTAGAATAAATGTCAATCTATAAAATAATTTAAATTATAATGAATCATACACAACTTTTTTATTAATTTATAGAGAATGACAACGGACTATATCAGATATGCGATTACAGGGTCTTTCCCACTTGTAAATTTGAACAATTGAAAAATAATATTTTTGTTTGTTTAAGACTTTAGAGATATAAAAATTATTAATATTGAATTCAATTACCCCTTATATATAGCACAATTAACAAAATTAACGTTGCATTAAATACTATTAATCCAAAGAATGTTTCGTCAAAAATATTTATTTTAATAACACTATATCCATAAAAATACGGAATTATGTATTTCTCCGTATCTTTCAGTATACAAAAACGTATCTAAATGTATCTCTCAGTATACAAACGTATCTTTCAGTATAAAACTTTAATATCTACTTTTTTACAGGGAGACTTTGAATTATAGATCAAAAGTAATTAGGCCATTCTATGGTAAAGGCGTAAAAAGCGTATTTGGTGCATTAATTTGTGTTACAAAAAAATAATATATACATTGGCCTTTTGACCTTAGAGTTTTCAGGCTTAATAAAAAAAATAAAAATGTGATTTCTAACTTTTAAAGCGTATTGTTTTTTATAATTGTGATAAATTGAGGCATGAACAACTTACATAAACAAAGTATGTAATTTGTATAACAAATTTATGATAATTAAGGATCCAGAAATATATATATGGTGTTAGGTGGAGAATAAATGAGTTGCACGCAAAGACTTTCGTAAGAGCGGTACTGTAAATAAATTTTATAAATTAAACGAATTTCTTGCTAATGTTAATAAACCTTATATATATTATATCATTTATATGACTTTATTTATAGGTAATAATATGAAAAATCTAAATTTTTTAAATTTTTATACAATTTCTTTTATATAATTACAAGGGACAATACTTTCATTCATCCCATTTCTAATTACTAATTTATTTATAAAAGTGTTTTGTAAATTTTTTAAAAAAACACTTCAAGATCACTTGTGTTAAAAAAGTTGCAAGTATAGGTATTCTAATTTAAAAGGAAGAATTTGTCCTAAATTTTGTAATAATAGAACTAATTTCAATACTAAATGATCGATGATTGAGATTCTGTTTAAAATTTTCAATTAAATTTAATCCTAAACTAGTATATTACCTTCCGTTGCATTTCTTGGTTCAGAAAAATTTTCAAATTGATAAACTTTACTTGTACTATTCGTATAATTTTTTAGACTATTGATATTACTATTTATTTTATTTATTTCTAAATTATTATTATTTTTTTTCTGATTGGTTTGATTTACTCTGATAAAAGTAATTGAGATTTCTTATTTTATTGCAAAGTGTTTTGATATCAGGTCTTTTTGATGGATCAGCATCCCACATTGTTTCATTAAATTTTTATATTCTAAAGGAGTTCTTGATACAATTTTTGGTCTTATGCCATTAACAATATTCATGGCAAGATCATAATTATGTTCATAATTAGTAAATGGTGGTTGCCCAGAAGAAATTTCCAACATAAACATTGCAATACTATGAATATCAAATTTGAAAGTCTGTTCTTTTCCAATAATAACCTCAGGTGCTATATAAAGAAGATTTCCGTATATACTTTTTAATGGTTTATCTGCAGGTCCACAAAATCCAAAATCACTAATACTAGCTAGTTATTCCAGTAAATTAAATGATATATTACCAGAATGCAAATCCATATGAATTGAACTCTTAAAAAGTGTATAATTATACTAGCAGCAATTTATATTATCTCTTTCCATGTAAGTCGATTATTATGATTTTGTTGTAAATATTTTCTTAAATATATATACATTTTATTTATTACAAGTATATAACTTCCATTTGATGAATCCATAACATCGGATATAGATATTTATTACTTATAGTTAAATGTGATTTAGCCTACAAAAAGATGCATTAAATAAAATTCTTGAATAAAAGTTTAGTTATTAATTTCTAAATATTTCTAAATTACAAACCTCATTAAACCAACTTTGATTTGCATTTTCAACATTTTCTAATCTTTTAAGTACCACATATTACTTTTCAAGTCTTTTTATTTGCTGTTCTTTAGAATCCCATTCATCGTAACTTCCATTGATCCATTTTGCTGTATAAATCTCAGAGCAACCACCTTTTGTTAGATATTCAATATTTTGAAAATTATTGTAAGGAATCCATTCTGGTATTAGATTTGAGACTATTTCTTTCATCTGACATTCTTGTATTAAATTATAAATATTATCATTTCCAGATGTCCAATTTGAAAATTTTGCTTTAAATAATTCCGAACACAATGCTCACAATATAATGTAGCTAAACATCCTTGGTTACAACTTTCACAAATTCTTTTTGTTCCTTCATTAAGAAATATTTTATCCGTATCATAAAGTTTAGTCAATAATCTTATTGCTTCAGGATTTTCATTTTTCTGTAAGTGAATCATCAACAAGAATTTGTTTGTTTTTTAAATTCATATTGTTTATTTTGATTATTATGAATACTATAATCTATTAAAGCATATGATCTATTAACTGCTGCATTAACTAATTCTTTACGAATACCAGACATGCTTAAATTTTAACAAGAATTATATTTTAAATAAAAAAAAAATTCAGGGCGAAGTTGGTGCCTTAACGTCATAATTCAAGTTAGTTGTATAACTGTATAACCTAATGAACGTTACAGTCGTTGCACGCTGTAAATCAAAAAATGTACTACCGAGTCTGTGATTCTGAATTACATAATAGTGCATTATAAATGATAGACAAATTACCGTACTAAGATAATATTGAGATCCTGTAAGTAAAGTAGTTAAGACTAATCGGTTTAATTTAATAACTTTAATGTGTAAATTTATATTAAAAAATAAATAAAATTATTAAAGAGATTGCGAAATTGCAAAAATAAGTAGGTTTTATTGGTTCTTTAATTTGTCGGTAAGACGAAAAATGGTATAGTAATAGGATTGGTTTGCTGAGACGCTAAAGTCGATATTAAATATAGAGTATAAATAAATATTAAACTATTTATAGTATTTAATAAGACATCATAATATTAAAGTCCCTAATAAGAATTTAATATCTGGTATAGTAAGGATCGAGTATGTTCTTTACATAGTAAAAAAATACTAGTTTATTTTGAAATTCAATTTAAATTTAATTATTTAGTCTGCAATTATTTCTATTATTACTACAAATTTCAGTATTTCAGTTATATAAGATTTTCATTAATATACTGCTATTCACATATTAATTTAATTAATCCTAACTTAATCTAATATGTTAATTAATAAGTATGTTGTAGAATATATTTTTCCTGGTATAGTTGATACATTATATTGTACGTAATGATGATAGATATTTATCGTTTAAGACTGTTATTCAATTATGAGTAAATATTATTAAATCTTTGTATAAAAATACTGTATAAATTTTTTTAATAAATGAGATATACTTTAAAGGTCTAAATTTATCTCTCCATAAATTTGGTTCACTAATAATAATTGGTTAATGGTCCAATTTTTGTATTACAAAATCAACTTTAAGAGGAACACTGTGTTATTTGTATGTCACACTAAATAATAAATTATTACATCATACAATAAGTATTCAGATCGTATAACCATGCGTATTATATGACTCATAGTTATTATAATTGATATTATTTTTTCTAAACTTCTATTTTCCTTCCACATAAAGATGACCCTACCCACTTTTAATATAGATATTATTTTTGAAATTATTAATGAGTTAAAAGATGATGGTGCTAGTTTATTCAATTTCCTACTTTTGAATAAGCAGATTTGTGAATTAACAATCCCTATACTTTGGGAAAATCCATTTAAATTGTGCAATATAGAAGTTAAAAGTAAACATTATTTGATCATACAAACTTATATTAATTGTTTAAATGAAGATGATTATAAGAAATTTATCTCAATCTTAAAAAGAGGATTCAAGGACCATAAAAATGAAATACCACTTTTATTTGAATATGGAAAATATTTAAAAGAATTTAATATTCGTGATTTATATAATGCAGTAAGTACATGGTATGAAATTTTCAAAAAAAAAAATAATGTAATGAAAAGTGAAAGTAAAGTTATAATATTAAAAAACCATCTCTTTCATTCAATTATGAGGCAAAGTCAAAAATTAAATTGTTTAAATTGGAATATAGGTTTTAATGATGAAAATTTATTGGAAATCATGCAACACAAAATTAAAGATTTGGATTATCTAACATTATATTGTGATGGGAAGTGTGAAATCAAAATAGCAAAAATAAATATCAATTTTTTTAAAAATCACTTTCAAAATCTTTCTAGTTTAAAAATAGAAAAATTATATGGTAATAAATTTACAGAAGATTTTATTTCTCTTGTAAAATCAAATAATAATCTAAAGGAATTCATTTTTGATTATGGAGTTAAAAAGTAAGTTAATAATCATGTTGATGAACTTATCACAAATATTTTAGAATTAAGAGCAAATTCTATAACTAAATTGGTATTAAACAATTTGGATTTTAGCAATATATCATTTGATTATATTCTTAAATGCATTAATTTAAGAATATTGGTATTAAGATCTAATGAAGGATTAAAATTTGAAGGAATTGATTCATTTACTTCATTCAATAATCTTAAAAAGTTAGATTTAACTTTCAATGATTTGTCATCTAAGGTAACCACTTTGATTATAAAAAAAGCTGGAAATAATTTATCTTCTTTAACAATTGGTGAAGAAGATAATAAAAAATCAATTAATGATGATACTTTAATTGCTTTGACTCAATATTGTCCAAATATTAATTCATTATCAATTTCTGGGGTTTGTAATAAAGGTTTTGAAATGATTTTTAAATATATTAAAAATTTTAGGCTAGTTACTTTACAATTATATCAAAATAAAATGAAAGGTACAATTATGAATTTAGAAGGTCTGTTGAATTACATAGAATATGAAAAATCTTTATCAACATTAGGAATAGGTAGAAATGATGATTATTGGCATTACTATAATTATGGTCGTGATAATTTTAAAGATTTCTTAGATAAGCATAATGTTAGATTAATACTATATAAACCTAAATTTTACTATTAAATAGAATAATGTTGATATATAAAATTATTAAATTAGTAATACAATTATGGTATAAGACTTGGATAATTATATAATTTTTTATACTGTACAAATCTGTACATGCTTCTTAATAAATAAATCTTTTCAAATTTTTTTATTATAACGTGTCATTATTGACGTAAATCTTTGTAATAAGTTAATTCTTTGTTCACCCCAGGTCCCATAAGTACAAGCCATCATCAATGGAGAAATAATAATTTTAACCGATTTTATCAACAACATGTGTATAAAATATGTATTCTTTTACTACTCTTGAAATTCGATTACATCGATATAAAGATGGCAGTTGCTCATAAAGGCTTTCATTTGACTATACCTATGATACATTATTTTTTTGGTGCTAAATAATACAAATTCTTTCATTGTTATTAAATATCTCTGCGAAATAAAAAAGAGACAAGAAAGATATAAACGGAAGTAATAATACATTTTATTAAGTTTAAATAAATAATCACGCTTCTATTTGATAATACTTGGGAACTTTTATAGTCATCTTGAATTAATGAATCATGCCTTGTCAATAATTTAAATAATAAATAATAATTTGAATAATCATATATCAACATATGTGTGTATAAGCAATGTAACTTCATTTTATTCAAAGTATGATTTGGTTCTATATAAATTTTATAAAAAGGTTATTTTAAAAGAAAACCAATAAATCAAATGGGAACCATTCAAAATCCCAACAATAAGAATCTCATTATAATACAAACCAAACATTCACAATCATAATCCTGAAAATTCAAAAATTCAAAACTCCAACACGATAATGTTACACGATTGTCAATCATTTGGCACAGCAAATATATTTTAGTCGTATGACGTACGAGTCGTACGACATGGTAGTCGCATGATATACGACATAGTACAAATCTAAATATGTACAAAAGCTTTTATTAATAAGGTTTCTAAGAACTCTAAATAGATTTTTTTTTTAAAAAAAAAAAAATTAAAAAAAAATTTTTAAGAAATGTCGAGAGGATATTCATTAGAAAAAGACTTAAGATTATTAATAAATAATCCAAAATATAGTGATATAGAAATTTTATGTGAGGATGAAAAGAAATTATATGGTTGTAGAGCAATTTTAGCAGAAAGATCCGAAGTATTTGATAGATTACTTTATAATGGGATGAAAGAAAGTTATGAAAATAAGATTTCTTTTCCAACGATCAATTCTTTTGGAATGGAAATTATATTAGAATACATTTATACTGGATCAATTAAAAATGAATCTTTAACAAAGGATAATATAATTGAAACTTTTTATGCTGCTGACTATTTTCAATTACCAGACCTTCAGGATTTTATTGTAAAAAATTTTAAAAATACATTAGAAAAAAATAACAATGGAAATTATTCACCGGAACTACTGTCTAAATTTGTGGGGAAAATGCCATTAACAGAAGACAATCATATTCTCTTATGTTCGTTAGTTGAAGAAGTAGCCACTATTTCACTAAATACCATTGAATGCGGTCGATTGTCTATTACAGGCTTTCAATATCTTTTGTCTTGTACATACGAAAAAGAAAAGCCTTTTGCGACACCAGAATACGAAGTTTTTCGTTACAGTGCTATTCTTGCAGCAAAACAAATTTCTTATGATACATATAAAGCTCTAATGGAACAGTTGCCAACTTTAGAGCAAATTGATAACTTGATTCAAGTAGAAAATAAACTTATTGCAAATCATCAAAAAGTTGCTAAAGAATTGGAGCCTTTAATCGAATATATTGATTTTAGGCGAATAAAAAGAGGACAATTTGATTTCATTGAACCATTAAAAATTATTCCAGCTGAAATTATTCAACATAATTCAGAATTAGTTGATTCAGATTTAAACAATATTCGAGGAATACCAATTTATAGATTTAAAGAATCTGAACTTTTTTGGGATAGGTTAGCATGTGGACCAGAACTTATTATTGAGGATAATGGAAAAGTTGTATGTGCACCAAATGATCTTCATGACTCATGGAGAAGTGTTATGGCTGAAATGGTTTTAGAAAATAAAGGTATTTTTGAATGGGATATTATTATTGAGAAGTCCTGTACAATTGCTGCTGTTGGAGTATGTGCATCAGAAAATTTTAATTATGAAACTTGGGCATGGCATCAAACTACTGGATGGGTGTTATCCTCCCAAGGTCATAGTGTTAATTCGGGTGAATGGTTAAGAGGCTATTGTCCTTCATTCGGAGATGGCACAAAAATCACTGTTCATTTAGATATGAATAAAAGAACTTGCGCTTTTACAGTCAATGGAACAAAATATCCAGAATTATCAGCATGGAATAATTTAGCATCAAAGCTCTATCCAGTAGTATCATTAAAATATCCTGGTCGGCTTCGAATTCAACCACATCAGAAAAGAGTTTGATTGTAAAAATCTATTGATATTATTTTACAACCGACTATAATTAAGGATCTCAATTCGTGATTCAAATTATTATTAATATAATGAAGAAATTTTTATTCAATTATATGATGTGACCATCTGTATTCTGTACTATATGATCATCTAACATAGGTCAGCAGATCAAAAATTTGCGATTATTTCCCATATGAGCTAATCAGACTTGTTCACTAATTGATACCGAGTGATGGTCAGGTGATCAGCAAAGTGTAGAGGACGAGGAGAATGCACTTTCTCAACAAAACAAGAGTACTTCACTTTATTTTTTCGTATAATAAAATATTTTCTTTTTAAAAAATGGCAAATAAGCAATACCATAAAAGTATAGTAAACTTTTTGAGGATGCATATTAAAAATTTACTAGGCACCAGACACGTTAAAAAAAGCAATCAAAATGATACAACATCAGAAAATTCGGGTTGTTGATCAGGTCACAATTTCAGCCAACTCAAAACTTGATCAAAATTCCAAACGATCAGAATTGAACAGGCCTATTATTGCAACATTATTAAAATATTTCTAACAGCAGTTATTTATCTCTTGGTGTTATCTGTTATAGTCTATAACGGCAATTTTGTAGTAAATTTATTATTATTATTATTATATTATTTTATTTTTTCAAAAAACTTACTACTTTGAGATTTAGAAAATGTAACTATTATCATTTGTTATAAAGAATAATAATTTCTTATATAATAAAAGAACAGCTTTACTTTCTTTACTCTTGCATTTATTATTTTTTTTTTTTTTCATTTGTTGATCTTGAATTTATGCAATTTTGTCAAATTGTGTTTTGATCTGACATCTGAATAATACATAAGGTTAGCTCATATGCTTTTTTTTTTATTTGAGACTAGATTAAGTTGAATGATTTATGTCACCGCGTATATAATATTAATTTACCACTTTTATAAAAAGGAATAGCAAATAGGTTAAAGATAATTGCAATGTAATAAAACTTAAAAAAAGATACTTTTTAATATACATATGAAATCTATTGGATAAAAGATTTTATATAATAGTATTATAATAGATGAAAATAACTAAAGTAGCCCTGGATAGGTGAGTCGCAGCAGATACTGTAAGGGATTTTTCATTTTTTATAGCGATAATTATTAACTTTGATTGCTAATCAATTTTTTTGAAATTTTTATTTTTTATCTTTTAAACTCGGTCACATGAAACTGTTTAGAACTTACTAACTGAAGATCAAAACTTGTTATTTCATTTGATAATTAAAGGTATTTTATATTTCATAATTATTAGCTCAATACAATTCAAAAATTAACGTCAGATTTAATTTTATAGTTTTATCTCTTATTTTAATATTTACATTATAAAATAATCCGTCAAAATATAATGACGTAACGTTCCTATACATTCGTTATTTTTGTGGAAAAAAATTTATTTTTTTTATTAAAAATAAGGAAATTTTATTAATCAAGTACAAACTTTTCATAACTAATCTGACAGCATATCATTCGGTAGGTAATTACTGATTGTACGGTGCTACATGCAATTACATCCTGTAATAGCATTTTTCCCCAGTATCAAGTTTCAGCTACAAATTTTAAAAATACTCGCTGCTAATTTTGGACAAATTTATATTTGGAAAAAGCACATATACTGTACTACCTGTGCCTTGGGTACTAGGATTTTTTCATTGAAATTAATAACGTTTAATGAAAAATGTAACTTAAGTGTCAACATTTTTTAACCAAGGAAAAAAAAATTATATTTAATTATACGATTTTTGAAAAAAAAGTAGTTTTAGAAAAATATATCTAGATTCAAAGTTATTTATTTGGATAAGAAAAAATTTTAATAATGTGAAAAGAGCATAATCCTAAAAATAATAAATACAGTATTTGTTCTATCTATATATTTTATATAATCTATATATTATTTATTATATATGTATATTATGTGTATATGTATATTGTTACGCAGTAAAAATGTTGCGCAGCAATCATGTGATATAACTGGACCCGTGATGCCGATCAATGTAGCAAATGTCGAATATGTTTGACATGTTCGATATGTTGCATATGTCCGATATGTAGAATATATAGAATATATGGAACATGTAGCATATATGGGATATATAGAACATGTAGTATATATGGAATATATAGAACATATAGGATATATAGGATATATAGCATATGTAGCATATGTTAAACATTTTTAGTTTGGAAATTTATGTATATATAGACCTGTAATTAGACCTAAATTCAAAATATAGAACGTGTGTGAAGAATTTAATTAATAAAATGTTTACCCTTTAGTATACACCTTAATTTTAAGTTTGGTTTTATATGGTTAATCTGCCTTCCCTTATTTGTGTCTGATTGTATGCGCCAGTGTGAAGCGATACTCTATTCACATCTGATTGGATTGATTTTAACATATACGTTGATCCTTAAAATTACCTTCTGCTTTATTAAATATAAACATTTTTTAATGTATAGCTTATTTTTAAGCTCATAAGAACTGACTCATAACAATTGGTGCCTTCTGCCAGAAACATTCCTTACTCCACCCCAAACTCCTTAATATCGCTAAAACCCCTTTACCCTACCATAAATTTCCTACATCCATTTAAAACTTTATGATTAATGACTTTTAATGATATTTATTTTCGTGGATTTAATCCATTATTAATGAATTTGCCGATATTAAGATAGAAATAGAACTTTCTTAATAGTTTAGAGCATAAATTTAACATTATCAACATTTATAAACTCTTCACAATGATCTAATGATACACACTTCAAATTCCAAATTTATTATTTCGGATTAATAATAATCTTAAAGAAAAGTGGTTATTCTTAGTATTCTCTTAGGATATTATATTTCAAAAAGAGAAGGTTCTCCTCATGAATTACCAAATATATGTAATTTCCCATCTAACTTATTGTTTAATGCACCTGAGAATTATAAGCAAGAAATTTTACCTTTAGATGCTATAGATATAATGTATACTGGCTATTATAATTTTAAACAAGCATAATGTAATTCAAGTGGCTTAAAGTTGGATCATACATCAAAATTGCAAAGATTTATCTATTTATACTTTGGAAAGATATCCTTCTTTATAACAACGAGATTGATAATAGTCTTTAAGTGTTTTATTGATGAATTTGAGAATGTATCGCCCATGATGATGCCATTGCTTTAGAATTTCATTTTTAGAGAATACCAGCAGTTAATTGATATAATGTGTCTGAGTTTTCCGATCTCATGCTCTATTTTTACTTGAAAATTTGGACAGAAATTGGACAAAGGAAAATATTACTGCTATTACGAACCTTCTTCATAACGATAGACCATAATGATTTTCTGATAAAAAGAAAGATACCAAAAATTTGTGTAAATCTTCTATTCCATTTGGCAACAACAATGATTGTGTCTTTGACCTTATTACATCAATCATCCATTGGACACCTGTAATTTTATCAGAAATACTTTTACTTTCTCAATCAACACAGGACTTACCCTAAAAGCAAATAGTGTATAAGAGACAATGCCATGATACAGTATATTTGTAATATAGTATAGGGAAATTGGAGATTTTATTGCTAGAAATTATTGCAATTTTTCCCACATAGCGTAAAAAAGTAGTGCACTTAAGATCATGATGTAATGGTATGGCCATCAGTTATTGATTGGGCTAATTGAAGTTACCACTCCATAAAGAAGGTATGATACAATAAAACGAAAAATCTTGAGGATGAATTACAGTATGTGGACCACAAGACTTGTTAATTAAATGGATAGAATCAAGTAGACGATTTTAGGATAGATTCGCAACTTTTACTTTCTTCTCTGGAAATTTCATTTTTACTTTAATCCCATCAGTTCAGAATGCTTGAAACTGTATTACCAATGATCGGATCCATAAATATTCATGTAATGAAAAATACTTGTATCAAGACCAACCAGCAGTTATCATACCTTATCCTCCATCATTCAGCAAACACATTGGCCATGAAGAAAAATTTTGTGTGTTAAAGGAAGCAATTGAATGATCAAAACACTTCGGAAATAAAGTCTTATTGTTAACAAATTTATTCTATATGGGCCAATTTCTAGAAAAAAAATGACTGGTACTTTGCAAAGTCATTATGCACAGTAATTATCGATACATTACCTTCAACCATTTGAATATTATATATTGAGCTTCCCGGAGTTGTTCAAATTACCAGGACTACCAACCATGATTCAGCAATTAAGTCATGAAGAATATCAAAAGTTGGTTAGAAATTTTCAACGGGAGTTGAAAACTTGAGCGGGGAGTGATGTTACGCAGTAAAAATGTTGCGCAGCAATCATGTGATATAACTGGACCCGTGATGCCGATCAATGTAGCAAATGTCGAATATGTTTGACATGTTCGATATGTTGCATATGTCCGATATGTAGAATATATAGAATATATGGAACATGTAGCATATATGGGATATATAGAACATGTAGTATATATGGAATATATAGAACATATAGGATATATAGGATATATAGCATATGTAGCATATGTTAAACATTTTTAGTTTGGAAATTTATGTATATATAGACCTGTAATTAGACCTAAATTCAAAATATAGAACGTGTGTGAAGAATTTAATTAATAAAATGTTTACCCTTTAGTATACACCTTAATTTTAAGTTTGGTTTTATATGGTTAATCTGCCTTCCCTTATTTGTGTCTGATTGTATGCGCCAGTGTGAAGCGATACTCTATTCACATCTGATTGGATTGATTTTAACATATACGTTGATCCTTAAAATTACCTTCTGCTTTATTAAATATAAACATTTTTTAATGTATAGCTTATTTTTAAGCTCATAAGAACTGACTCATAACAATATTGCATATGATTCTAAGATTCTAAAAATAATAATATTAATAAGTTTTTTAATTCTTAAAAATTAAGTTATCCGCAAAACTATAAAAGTTTATCATAACGTTTATAACCTTTAAAATGTTGTCTCTAATAATAACGCCAAAAGGCCCAAGTGGTGTGGAAATCTTAAACGTGTCATTTCTAGATTTTAATACATCAGCAGATGTTCGTTTTAACATTTCTTTATCATATTCTTCAATAAAAGAAATATTATCATCAGTATATTTAAGTAATGCTTGAGAAAGTTTATCAACATCTTGAATAGCATTATTTGCTCCTAATCCTAATATAGGACTCATAGCATGAGCAGCATCTCCTAATAATACGACTCGACTACTTGACCATGATTTTATAGACATTGGATCAATATCTCGCATCATTCTTCATTGTATAGGATTATAAGTTTTAAATGGAAACTTTATTGGATCATTTGGAATTGTTTTAGGTGCCAAGTCCCATAATTCTAACAATAAATTAGTCAATTCACAATCTGGTCTTAATGTTCGAATTAATCGTTTAACATGTTCGATGACTGATGAAGGATCATTATCATCAACTTTAACTTTTTCAGATTCAACATTATCCAATTCGGAGGTATAAGAATAAACTAATGTTGCTCTATAATGAGGTTCATTTTTTTCATCATTTTGTTCTTGTTTGATTGGTATTAAGCGTATCATCATAAATGTTGAATCTCCTTTTGTTCCAAGAGTTTTACGAGCCAAAACATTTCCATGGATTTTATTTGCCTTGTCCATAAGATGTTTAGGTATAGAAATATCTGCACCAACATGGGTTATTCCATAATTAACAATTTGTAATTCAGGTAATTTTTGTTTTCATACTAATAAAAAAAAAAAAAAATGTTTGTTATTTAAATTAAAAATTATGGACATTACATAAAAATATCTACTAACTTACTTGGAGAATTAATTCTGTCCGCACCAACTAAAATATTACAAAATTCTTGCGTACCATCTTCAAAAGATACCCAAACTCCTTCTTTAGTTTCTAAATATTCAATACATTTTTTATTCCATTGTACTGGTACATCTTCTAATAAAACATCTCTAAGTCTATCACGATAAGTGATCATTGATGATAGACCACGAGATATTTTTGCAAGATCGTAAACATCTTTAAATGGTTTAGTTGGAGGAGCAAGTAGAACATTTCCTACTTGATCAGTGATAATTATTCCATGAGTTTCTACATCAGGAACTGGATTTGGCATTGCTTTTGGAAGATTTGCAGCGATTGAGGATGGAATACAGTTTAAAAGAGATTGAGCTCCATAATTGGATAATCCTATATGATATCCTTGCCATCGATCTAACACGTGAAGATACGAGTTAGTTAACGTTGTTAACGTAATATTCAATTAAGAATTAGAAATTTATTATACCTGTAGGACTAGATTCACGTTCAAAGATTTTTACGTTGAATTCTTTTTTGTCCTTGTTCTTTATCAAAGCATGATAGAGAGAAAGTCCTCCTAAACCTGCACCGACAATAATTATCGTTGGAATTTTATCTTGTTGCATTATTAATAATATTTGTATAAAATTCGGAGAGTAGATAAAAAAGAATTATTATGATGTTTAAAAAATTGTTTGAATAATTTTCTAATATATTTTAATGTATCTTAGATTTTGTTCTGAAAAAATCGAAAAACATTTTTCTAATGGATTTATTTATAAAAAAAAAAATCATTGCCAAGAAAACAAACGAAACGTAAACTTTATTACTGCGTTAATGGTGTAACGACGTTTTAGTATATTCGAATGGTCTATCAAGCATAATTTAACCATTGCCGATATTTATCCGATATTCTGTTATTCCTGTTTCACGAACGGAATTCCGGGATGCCTTAAGCACGCCACAATGCCACATGCCAAGTCGGATGTAACGTTCATTCTTACAATGTGTAACAAAATATGATCATTACTCATTTAACTAAACACATTCGTCGAATTTAACCGAAATTTTACCAAAAACTTTTATAATTTCGTCGGAAAATTATTTACCGAAAAATTTTACCAAGAATTATTTATTTTTTTACAAGAAATGTAATGTAACTTAATGTGATAATCATATTACTCATTGTGACAACCGAAAATTCCTTGTACTTTATCACTGTAAATAATAACCTTCATTATGAACTTTATTCAATAAATAATTACTAGGCATTTTTTCATACAGTTACCAGTTTTTATTCGTTATTAATTATATCTATATATGATTTTATTTATACCATATTTACAATTTCATGACCACAATATATAAATTTTCTAAACTGGTTATAAAAGAAAAAAATTTGAATTTAAGTTTAAAAGATAAAGCGGCATAATTTATAATAATCATTAGTGTCAATATTAATAAAGAACGAATGTATAACTAAAATTAATCGTAATGAAATTTTCATATAATATTAAAATTTAAAAGTTGTTTCATCTCATGTAAGCATGTAAGTATTTAGCTAATAGCAAGATTCAACTTTTCAAGTTGATGATATTGAATTATTTAGACCCATTTGAAAATAAATATATATATGTATCATTTATGTTACTGTATAAATTTTTTAAGTTGATGTAAAAATAGATTTATTTTTTTTAGAATAATTATAATAATAAAAATTAATTTCTTTTCTTTCTTTCGCCGAAGGTTGAGAATGTTTATATCGACATCGATACTGAAATTAACTACATAGTTATTATATATTATTTTAAATTCACGAGAAGTTCCGAATGCATTAAATCAGAATTAATTTATTGCTTTTTGGAAATATTGCAGTTAAAATATGCTATATTAACTGATATATATACAGTATATAGTCAAACGGGTTTGTATAAAATGCAAAAAAAATTTTTTTTTATATCGTTATTCAAATAGTTTTTTTCCATTTTTCTTTGCGTTTCTCCTTTTTCTTTTTTTCGAATACTTTCTGTAGTACAATAGTAAATTCTTAAAATTCCATACATATAGAAGATCTAATTCCAGTCTTTCCATAGCACAAACAGAAAGTTCTATATTTTACTGAAGAGGTGTATATTTAAATATTTGTATATATATATTTTTTGTTATTCAATTATTATTTATTTAACCTCAAAAAAAAAAAAAATCCTTACTGTATGTAGATCGATAATGTTATCATAGATTGCATGGTAAATCAAGGATATGAAACCCTATATCCGAATAACTATTTCGTGGAGATTGAAAAAGTAATTCCTGAATATAAAGCCAAAAGAATTAGGCAGCGGTGAGTTATTGAACTTTTAATAATTTAATTTACTTTAATTTAATTTATTTATTATTTTTTTATTATTTAGCTGGATAGATAAACTCAAGCCTGGACGTAAGTAATATTTTAAATTTTCTTTTAAAATAATAATAAATAATAACAATAATAATAATTTTAACCCTTTCAGTTAATCACGACCCTCTTAACAAGGAAGAAAAAGAATTTGTCGTCCAATGGATTAAAAAGAACCTAGGCCCGAATGATTCTTTTAAATGGAAAGATTTAATCTCCGATATGGAAGAAGAATTCCATACATTGCGTCCTGATAATATACCAAAAAACTATTGGTATGCGTTAAAAAGAAACCTTCTATCCAAGATCACTCATAATGAAGAGTTAACTCCTTTGCAAATTTTAAGCTTGTTATCTCCAAATCCCCAGTTAACTGAGTTAACTGGTTAATAATAAACAATCCAAATTTGGATAAATAAGAATTTATATTATCTGTTATTATCATTATTATTATTTAAAAATACAAAAAAAAATGTTCTGTTTTAATTTTCTATTATTTATTTCCTCATCCATTTTTAGTAAGAACTTATTACAGATAACTTTATTAATTTAAAGAAAATTGAGTGTACCGAAGTAAATTGTAATTTTATCGTGCATCATTAAATTATAGTATATTGCAAAGTCAAATAAAGTTAATAAAAAATAGTATAAAGTCTATTTTTGTGTGCACTTTGATGCACAGTCATACACGTCACGGCACGTCAGCACGTGCATCGTGCGTGTATAGCATGGTCATGCACCCAATGCCATTACCTGGGGGCCCTTATGGTTTTTAATAATTAGAGCTATGGTAATAAACTAATAATTTGGCGCAATGGTCGCTCGTTAATATATAAGTTTCCATTATTTTGTATGAAAATAAAAATGGTTAAAAATGAATTTTATAAGACATGTTACATAATCTACTATTAATAAAAACTTTTAATTAAATATAAGTAATTTTATGGGGGTTTAGGAATATCAGGGGTTTTTCCCTTCGGGAAAAAAACCATGGTATTCCGCCCACATCACCACATTGAAGTTATACCCAGGAGTGTGTGACTTATGATCACTATTACTATCACGTGTACAATCATTATTTATACTTTTTTAAACTTTAAACTTTGTAAGCTAAAAATATCCAAAAAAATATTTACATATATCATTAGGGAAATTACGATGCTCTATATCATAAGTCACACTTAGTTCGACGGGGTATAACGCAAATAATTTTATGTCAAAAGTCTCTTAATTATAATTTATGTTAAATAAATAAGTAAATCTATATTTTAACTTATAAAACTTTTGAGTTAAACTATAATTTGGCTCATTGTTCAAAATCTAAAATATTTATTGCATGAAATATACTTAAGATTGATTTACTGGAAATAAAATATATCCATTGGTTAATGTCTTAGTCAATTTACATCAGAATCTTAAAGAAATATAATATGAGTTTCTGTATTATAACAATTAGAACTTTTAAATGATAATGTGAAGGAAAATTTTCATGTTCAGAAAATTCAACTGATATTTTTAAAGATTCTTTGTGACCCAATTATTTTATGATAAATATGTCACATTAAATATTTATAAGTGAAATATGAGAAAATGAATATTTGTAATTATTGTATCAAAATTAAATCTAAATTTTGGTATTTAAATGATTCAAATGGTCCGAAAATGTCATCAAAATAAACAACAGTCATCATAATGAGCCCAATTTCATAACAGATAAGTAAAGTATGTAAAATAATTTATTTTCAATTAATATTCTAAATAATGACTCTAATTAACCTTGTAGGATTCAATCTGATAAACTTTTCAATAGAAGAAATAATATTAATTCCAAGTATTTAAGAATATTTAAGAAAATATTATTTATTTCAGTCATACCGTTTATGTGTATGTTTAATAAACGATAATTTTAGTAGCAAGGTTAATGTTTTGGCGAAACCAAAAATCTAAATTCAAACCGTTTCATTTTTCGTGTGGTAAAATCCGAGCTTTTCGATAAAGCGAAAGCTTATTGGATCACGTGATACAATAAAGTTGACCAATTGAATCAAGGCTTTAAAGTCACGAAATGCCGTTCATTTTCTAGTTTATCAGTAAAAAAAATTTTTAGAAAACATTATATTTGGACTAATGCTCCAAATATGTTTCATTCGAGAAATAACTTTATTGGGTGTTATTAAGTTCTGGTAAGAAGTAAAACATGTTAATGCTCAAAAAGTCTTATTAGTACTTTTATCTTGTCAAACGAGCAGATCATAATCTTTTTTATTTTGTAAGACTAATAAACCATTATATAACTTAATTACTTTGTAAATTTCTCATTTAATAAAGGTTTATTATATCAATAAAGCTTTATTCAATTTTATTTTATTTAGTTAATAAGTTTTGACTGGTTACATCAATTTTGATAAGTTTCATCAGTATCGGCATGTGTGGAATTTCAGAAATTTAAAAATCTGTCATAAAGTGGGTTTGCCAAGTTTCGGAATCGACCCTCTCATATTCGCCTATATACTAAGCAGAGTTCATTGAAAACGGGCCTTTCTCATATTTCATATTACCATAATGGAATTCATAATTTATTAACAACTGAAATTATACATGATGAAAATATTGGTAAATCAAAAATCATTTTTGACCATGTCATATTATTAACGTGAAATGAAAAAATAGAAAGCTAAAATCACACCAAAATGTGCAAATTTATCCACTTTTCAGACTCGTTAATCACAAAATTATGATGTAGTTTAAAAATGATCCATTTATTGCGCCTGCGAGCAGATTTGTGTTAACTACACATTTTTTAGATTATAGTGCAGCAAGTAACAAATGCCAATATTGGTACATTATAAATTATCTAATTGATCCATCATTAATATATTTTATATGTGAACTTCGAGCGACATGATTTAAATAACTTTAAAAAGTATCTACTAAAAAGTGAACAAAGGACGGATTACGATTGTTGTTAATTTTCAATGCAAAACTTACTTTGATTCACGAATTATTATCACAATACCTTAGGGAGTAATTTCATGCAGAATTTAACTAATCTTGACAGTGTGAATATTTAATCGTTATCCGGCGATAGCCACCGCAAATTAGACCGCAGGCAATAACATTATCTAAAAAAAAACCGAATATTATTATCAAACATTAATTTAAAGTATCAAATGTCAATGTCGATTTTTAATACTCTAATAAAATATCGTGTTATTACTATTTTGTTTTTTTTTTGTTAACCGATCAAAATATTTTATTCGCTTATAGTAGTATTGGGATTACAGATACTATTCATAACTAAGCTCGTAGCGAAAAAATATTTGTTTAGATATTAATGAATCTAGGTTTTAGGTTAAAAATTCTAAACTTCATAAATTTTGTTTTATGAAATGTTTATCTGAAAACATAAATGGTTTCTTCCTTTGTTTTAATTAAATTTTTTTTTTCGATCTCTCAATTTTAATAACCGCACCAAATTATTACTTAAATTTCTTCCAACAACAAACACTAACATTAAATACTAGTCATTAATCATGGCTTCTGGATATAACAGCAATTGAACTTTAAGCCATAATCTTTGTGCTTCTATAAGTTTCAGATGACAATCAAAGAATTGATTTTGAAAAGTTACTTTGACTTCATTACAAAAAGTGTATGTACTGCGGACTATCATTTTTGAATTTCAGTTCTTGTCATATTTATGTGTTGACACATGTAAATTTTTGGTTTTGACTTTATTTAAATTTAAAATTTTAAAATAATTCTTAAAAAATATCATGCAAATTGATATAAATACAGCAAAAAATTAATAGCCAATTTATATATAGTAACTTTCAATGTTAAATTTTTCGTGATAAATATAAATTTAATAAGCTAAATTATTTTTGACAACATTCATCATCCAAATTATCAACTTTAATATATTTTCCTATTTTAGTTAAAAAAAAAAAAAATATTATAAAATTGTTGGCGTGAAAAACTATAGATACTATTTATTATGTGCATAAATAAAAAGTTTACTTACTATTTTTTTGAGTTTCATTCGTTTCGTTCTTTAATTCTTCAAAATTACGCTTTCTTGAAGAATTTGCGGATACAGTTAAGCTATGAGTAGCGGAAGTCAGTGTTCGGAAATGACCTGGTCATTTGACCATTTAAATGATTTATGAAATCATTTGTCATTATTCATAATCATTTGTCATTTGGTCATTTCAATCATTTGATTTTGATTGGCTAATATTTATCACATAAATAATCATGTGACTATAATTAAAAAATAATGAATGTAGTGTAGGCAAAAATCATAATGCTGGCCAAAATTACATTCAAATGACCAAGATCATTTGTCATTTGATCATTGAAATAACATTTCATTTGTCATTTATCATTTGAATCATTTGGTCATTTCAAGTCATTTGCCGAACACTGGCGGAAGTTGTATTTTGTGTGAATGAACTAAAAAATATATGAAAATTACTATTTGTTTTATACTATTAGCAATTTACATACAATTAAATATTAATCAATTACCTTTGAATATTATTTATATCAAATTCATATTCTTTTGTAATATATCCTAAAAATTAATAAAAGATATCCAAGTTAAATATAAATTTAAAGAAGTAAATTCAATTATTAGTATTATCTGATCGTCTAATTAATGCTTCAAGATTTTCATTAATGGCTAATTATTACTTAATAATATAACATACCTTGTTTGACATTAAATGAGATCATTGAAGAAGAATTTATAGTAGAAGCTTTAGAAATCAATGAACTTAATGCTCTACTTGTAAAAATTGCTTTTGGATGAGGGTTTTCGCTAAATTCGAAACCAAGTTGCTTTAATTGTATTAATTCCAATCTTTTTTTTTCAGCTTGTTTAAATGTTTCGACTTTATCAAACCGACAAAGATATTCGTGAATAGAACGCTTGACTTCACCAATAGTTGGTCTTTTTAAAGGGTCAGAATCCCAACATTTTTTCATTAAATTTGCAAAACATTCAGGGGTATCATTTGTAATTTCAGGGCGTTTTCCATCAATAATTTTATAAATAAGTTCAACATTGTGTTCAATATTAGCAAAAGGTTTACAACCTTTTGTAATTTCCCACATAATCATACCAAAACCATATACATCAGATTCTTTTGAAAATGCAGCACCTTTGAATATTTCTGGTGCAATATAAGGTATTACTCCATATATTTCATTATTTGATAATGTATTATTCGCAGGTTGTGATAACCCTAAGTCTCCAATTTTCCATTGTTGAGAACTTAATAGCATATTTCCACTATGAATATCTCGATGTATAAAATTATTATTATGAATATTTCGCAATCTAAAATGAAACATTTAATTGTTAATAAACTAATTGTAAATATAGAAAATAGATTAATTCATTAAAATATACAATAAATACCCATATGATATTCCATTTAAAATACACAATTTGTCGTTCCATCTAAGATTTATAAAGTACTTTTGCAAATAATCATGCAAATTTCCACCTTCTGCATAATTCAATATTAACATGTATTCTTTTGTTATAGGATCTTGTGTAATGCCATGACAGCCAATAACATTAAAATTGTAATCATAACATTGATAAAGCGATCTTAGCTAAAGAATTAATAAGTCAATTATTACAATAAGTATTAAAAAACACATTACAAGTATATAAAATGTAAATATTACCTCATTTAGAAAATGCTTACTGATATTTTGTGAATCACGTAATTTTTTTACAGCAACATCAGTTCTTCCCCAAGTCGCTTTATAAATAATACTGAATCCTCCTTCTGCTATTTTCTTTAAATTCGTAACTTGAGAATATGGAATCCACACTATTCCTTTGGTTGGAGGTTTATTACGAATAAACGAATACACTTCATATGGACTGCGAATTGGATTTCTTATACAAATAGAACCGTAAAATTTTGTAGGTTCAAGAAAATCAAGTAATTCATCTATAATACAATTTCCACTTCTAATATCTGTAATATCAATTCTAATGAATGAAATTCTTCTGCATTTCTTACATTGAGATTGATCTGCAATTCCAAAAATTATATTTGTTGTTAAACAATACCTACATCCAGTATAAATTATAAAGCAACGTGAACACCATTTTTGACAATAAGATTTTGACTCTTGGTGTATATATTTAAATTCTTTATAACAAACTATACATTGGTTACAACTATCCCACCATGGTAAATATAGGGTCGGAATGAACTTTTTATTCAAAGTTGATTCTACCCATCCAGAAGAAGCCTGATAATCTGACCGATTCTTGTAATTACAAATTTCGCATTCAGCATTATAAATGTGCAAACAATTTGAATTTTTTGTTAATACTTGTGTAAAATATAAAATCTCCGAACAATATTCACACCATTCTTGAATGATTGTTGTATTAAAATTATTTCTAGTTGCTTTATGTTTAATACACTGAGAATTATTTGTATTTATATGTGCATCCAAGTATGTATTATTGCCTGTTATATATTGAACATACCAAAATAAACAATTTTTGCAATATTTTTGCTCAAACATGAGTGTCTTGGAGTATTTAATTCCACAATAATCACATTTTTCCTCATCGTTTTTAAAAGGAATAAATAAAACAGGTACAGGACTAGATTTTAACTTTCGTGTAGGATCAAATGGATTATTATCTGTGTTCATGATGTTGTATTTCAAGAAAATAGTTTATAAAAGTTAAATGTAAAATTATAAAGCAATATTTATATTTTATGAAGATACAATAAAAATTGAAATTCTACAGAACTTTTCTTTAAAGAATCAAGGATATTCTATATAGAAATTCTATAATTATGCATGTTGAAAATCATGCAGAAAACCTGTACTACCAATCTGAAATCATGTGATTTAGGAAAATTGTTGACGATCAAATTTTTTTTTTTTTGACGAACTCAAAAGATAATTTTTTTAGAAAATATTCAACACTGACAAAAAATTTTTTTTCTTTTTTGGATACTTTCTTTTAAATTCACAGTATAAAATCTTCTTGGATTTAAGAATATCATTCAATAAATACATTGCTCGTAACAAGATTATTACATTATCTGTTAAATGCGAAGATCAATAATCATCATTTACTGTATTAAGTCTTACGAACATTACATAACTCTAGAGGAGGGGATTGTTTTTTTAAATTATGAACGTTAATAGATATTAATAACGTTCCACATCCTTTATTTGATATTATTATGAAAATTTTGCAGATTATTAATAACTGTGTACAATGTACATGATTTGTATATGTATATTTTCCTGTGACTTCTCGATTATGTACATCATGCGCATTTTTGTTCTTTAATCAAATATTATTAATACATATATATCATTAAAATAAAAAATCATTTACATATAATTAAACTAGTTACGGGACATTTCACCGAAAAATAGGGTCGACATTATGCATCCCGATATCAATAAATTTTTATTTAAAAAATTATTTTCATAAAATGTACCACGTCTATGGACAATTTCCCGAAGGACAATTTCCCGATATCGAAATTCGTACACATCATGCGTATTTAATCTTTTTATTTAAAAAAATTGTCTTTTAATGAGCGAGTTACAAGTTATTTATTTAATTCTATAATTGCATATAAATATCCAACACATGTCGAAAGATCGACCAAATCTTAAGCAGATAATAAAAATTCCAATATATACACCTCCATCTTTGGCATGAAATTCATCCAACATTTTTCTGAAATACAACATAGTGATTGGCCTTATTATGTCTCCTATTGAAGGTAAATACTTCATACAATTAATTTTCACCAAAGTAAATTTTTTTATTCTTATGTATACAGTATGTATTATGCAGGCCATACAGTTTGGGACCACAATAAAATGTGGATAGGTACATATGGCGAAGCTTACATCACCATAAATGGAAGTGAAGTGCAAGGCAAAGGTTCATGGGCTCACCATGGTTTTCATATGATGTATATGATACCATAAAAGACTACTACCTAACATTCTCTGTCGAAGGTACAACTCAAGATGATAATCATCGTGGACCATTCACGAATCATAGGGATTATGAATGGAAGTTCACTGGTAGTGTAGATAAATGGGCATACACCGGCTATCCTAGTAATATCTCCCCTTTATCTCTTTACTCTATGTAATATTTTCATATTAGTCATAATTATGTAATCACTAAGTAATTTAATTTTACCAAGATACATCACCCCACTCGTAGCTATTTATAAGATATATTTTATTGTTGAAATTTTCCCGAAATCAAAATGTAACCTTAAGTTGAGTATAGTATTTAACAATAACACATTATGAATCTTTAAATTTTAATTGGTTTTTATTAATATATCATCTGTTTGTAAAACAATATTTTATTGAGTAAAAATAATTATCATTAATATCTAATACTTTTAAATATAAATTAAGATTTCGTTAACGTTAATTTCATTTACAATATTTCCGTAATTTATTTGGGAAAAGGTCTATTCAGGGAATTTGTCTTGTCGGGAAATTGTTGTCGGAAAAAGGTTGCGTCTGAAAAATGGATGTCGGGAAATCGTACCGTAACCTACAAATTACCGTAAAGTCACGAATATAAGCAACCTTTTTTTGTTACAGGGTGCTTATATTTGGGTAAATTTATATATTTGGTATATTGTAGTATTGGCCAAAATTATCATAGTGTTGGTCAAGGGTGCTTACTTTCGGGTAATATAAAAATCTGGGGGTGCTTACATTCGGGGGTGCTTATAATCGGGACTTTACGGTAAGTAATTTCATGTGCTTTACTGGATAGTTTTAACTATTGTTTTTTCTCTTTGCATATACATGAAAGTTTATAACTTACATTTTTGGGATCCTTTTAAAAGTATGGACAAATATATAATTTTAATAACAAGAATACATGTAATTTTGCACAAGGACCACCACAAAAAAATTATTTCTCCCACGAACTTTCTTTTTAAAAATCTATTAAATAATAAAAAAAAATTCGATATTTTAAAGAAACTAAGTGTTTATAAATTTTATAATATTAATTTTAACACTTTAGTTAAGTAAACAAGACTTGGGTGACTAATAAAAATCATTTAACAAGTATTGAAAACACATGTTTTAATTTTTATTAAATTTAAATACATTTATTTTTTCATTTTTGTTATGCTATTTTGAATATTTATTTATGAATTAGTGTTTTTTAATTTTGAAACTATTTCATTAAAACTAGCTGGGCCGCCCTTACTAAGAGTATGATATATATCATAAACTTTAACACTTATTTGCAGAAACAAAAGTATTGGTATTTGGTAAGATATAATTTAATTTTCATTTGAAATAAATAAATAATTTAATTTATTGTTTTTTTACATTTCGATTTAATAATCTTGTAATTAGCCTTAAAAGAAGAAATATTATGAATTTTTTTTTGCAATTTATAAAAAACAACATTTAACGATTTTTTTTAAAAAAAAAATTTTCGGTTTCTAACCATACTGTAGTAAACTTCATATAGAACGTATATTATAAATTTATATTTGTTATAATTAAATATCCAAAATAAAAAATTATTCAATAAAATTTATTTCACATGATTAAAAACATCGATATTTCAAATCAAATTTATGTCCACATATTTTTTTTTTTAATAAATCAATTCGTGTAATATATATAATTTTTTTTAATAAATCAACTTATATAATATATATTTTAATAAGTAAATTCGTATATTTAATAATATAATGTTTTTTAATATTTAATATAATATTTTTTAATAAATAAATTTAATAAATTCGGGGTATATATTTGTTTTCAGATATATATTTTTTAATAAAATATTGATATATATTTTTAATAATTTTTTTTTTTTTTTAATAAAATTCAGATATATATTTATACATGTATATATTTATATTTTGACCAGGTTCATTTAAGAACGTTTAAATTCTTTCATATATTTAACTTCCTTCAACTCTTATAAATTATAATTAATCGCGAATAATAAATATTTCCTTGATGTTAATATATGGTTAGCTCTCGGATTTTCAACCGGATCATGCTGCAGATCATCAATTTTTTTTTTTCTATATAAGTGACCATTGTTCATAATATTGATATCGTTTATCAATTTTTTTTTTTTTTTTAAAAAAAAAAAAAATCCTCAATATCATTATCTCAATATCTGAATTAGAAACTTTTCTAAAAAAAGCTGAAGAAAACTAACGCAAAGACAATGGAAAAGCTACAAAACTTCAGCTGAAGGAATAAACAGATTGTGGAATATATATAAAAGTTCAATATTATAAAATGCTCCCATTAACTATATAGCGTGATCTGTATATGGTGTCAACATATTACGAGGGTTGTAGAGGGTCAAAATGATAAAATGTATTACAAGAGTCAAAACATATTACAAGACAATACAAGCTTGCTCTCACGTTTTCTGAGGCTTATCTGTATGGAAACAATGATGGTACAATTTACTCAGGGTTACAAGACCGATAGGGAGTACAGGGGAGTAAAATTCGTTGTTCAATGCAAGAATTTTACTCAGCGTAAAGTAAATGGCTCCCTTGTTAGAGATTTCATTGTATGTATATTTATGATTATTTGAAATTAAATCTTATATGACCTCAACTAACTAAAGTCAATAATTATTCAGGGAGGATTGTCAAATTATCCACCAGATACCCTTGGCATTTTCGTTACATCAACTGGATGTTCGCAGTCATCACTTGAGTTGGCAGAAAGTTCTGATTACTTAATACATCAAATTTAATTAAACAGTTTACATTATTATATGTAAACAAAAGAACGAAGACACAATTACGATCGAAAATGCCGAAATTGAAAACATTGAAGTTGAAGAAGGCTCCACTTTGTCCCTATTTGGAAATTGAAATAAAAGGCAAAGTGTCCCTAAGTAATATAAAATTTAAAAATGCAATTGTGAAGAAAAGAAAGATAGATAATTAAGAAACTTTACCTTCGTATCCCCCCTGTGCTCCCTTTCCTTTTTATTTTTTCCCTTTCTAAAAGTTGATAAAACAATAAAAATATGCTTTATTGATGTTACTTTTTCTGTCAAAATGTTTGGAGTAGATGTTTGAGTAAAAAAATACTTTACTTTTCATTTTTCCCTTTCTAAAAGTTAATAAAACAATAAAAATATGCTTTATTGATGTTACTTTTTTTGTTAAAATTGTTTGCAATAGATGTTTAAGTAAAAAATATATTACAAAATTTTTTAAAGCTTTAATACAAAATATTGTACAATTTTATTTTTATTTTTATTTTTATTTCACAAAGTATACAAAGTCGAAGTACAAATTATAGGGACAAGTTAAAAAAATGCCAAAAATAATTCTAACACTAACCGCCAAATCGCACCATGGCCTTTAAAACAATAGGAGACGGAGGTAATCCAAGAACACCTTCAGGACCCATGCAAGTTTGAGGTAAGAAAAGAAAGGGTGATAATAAAAATGATTAATTTAAATTAAAAAATGAATACAAAAACAAAAAATTAAAAAATAAAGAAAATAAATCTGTATTATCAAATAATAAACTATCTCTATTGGATTCCCAGGAACCAGCATGTAAAAAATTGCTTGATGTCCATCTAATGTGGGCTGTGTTATCAAAGAAGCCTAAGGGCGTATAATGGAACGTCGCGTGTGTTGATCCGTTAATTGTGAATCTGTAGTATGAAGCGCGTCCCGTTGGTTGTGATTATTCTTATTGTGATGATTTTTGAAATAAACCTTTTTTTTCTTTTTAGTCACATTGATGGTAGCTTTCCATTCTTTAAAAGCGGTACTATGTTTGTTTCATTTCAAAGTGATGCTTTTCAAAAAGCCTCAAACTGGGGTTTCTTTTTGCTTATGTAATTGTAAAAAATTAGTGATAGGTCCGATTGATGTATCGAAAGGTAAAAGGGTGCGTAGTAATTGGTAAAATATTTCTGAAAAAGCAATCAAAAAAAGGAGATGATTTGATAGCATCTATTAGGCTGGAAACCAGCCCTTTAGCGTGATCTTTGATATTAGCGTTGAATAAAATATCTTTGTGACGAATGGTTATGTCCACGCAACTATTTTTGTGAACCCATGTGTTATTGTCGGTTGTGGAGTTGCATTCCACGCATGGTAGTTTGTGGCCAGGGTAGAGTTTGAGATAATTGCGCTGTTGAATGTAAGCTGTTGGATAAATGGAGTTTAATTTTCTTAAACATGATCTTTGTGTTTTTGACAATTTGTCATATATTGGTGTGTCTAAGGGATTGAGGTTAGACCATTCTTGGTAAAAGTCCAATGTTTCCACTAACGATCTGTTGGCTAATCGGGCCATCTCCGTGTTATTGATCATAGAATTAAAGATTAAGGGTTGGGTTATATTGTTGCTCCATTTTCTGATGTTTTGATCATTTTGATCAATCACGTAAATGTTGTTCCATTTGATTAATCCTAGGCTATTATTATGAAAAAAATTAAAATTAATAATTATCGTATCTTTGATATGTATGCCAGCATTGGCTAGCTCGTCGGCAATGCTATTCATGAGATCGTTGCTGTACCCCTTATTGACTTTTGTAGTGATAATTGGAGACGTTTGTGTTCGACCAAGTAAAAATTAAATCCCAGATTAGAAAGTTGTTTTGTTTGAGTTGGTGACGAGGACTGACCACTGGTGAATGTAGTCATTGGTAATAATTGTTTATTATTTGTTTTGTATGTCTATCAGTTTCTTTTCAGATTCTGTTAAGTTTTGTACGAATTTTTTTTTTAAAAAATTCTTTTTATGTCACAAAACGTTATTAATGCTTCGTTTTTTATTTCCTTTAGCTTCATTTCGGCTTCAGAAGGTGAGGGCTTTTTTAAATTAACTTTGTGGAAACGTTTACTACTAGAACGAACCGGACTTTAAAGTAAGAAACGAGGGGATTATTTTTTTAAGAAACGAACTAACGTTTTTTTTTCGTTATTTTTTTTTGTAGGTGCTGGCTTGGACACGAAACCGGACTTTAAGGTAAGAAACGGAGAAGAGGGGGATTCTTTTTTTTTTTAATTTAAGAAGCAACCTAACGTTTCTTTCACTGTTTTTTTTTTTGTAGGTGCCGGCTTGGTGACTCGAAAATTATATGTTATGGTTCATTGAGGTAGAATGATTGCAGAAATAATTTGCTTGTACCTTCAAAGTCAACTTCGGTTTATTTAAACATATATATGAAAGATTTATACTTTTATTTTTTACTTTTTCAACAAGAAAGAAGAAAAATGACTTGTTAAACATACTCAAAGTATTATATTTATGGTAAATAAATTTTATAAATTAAACAAATTTTCTTGCTAATGTTAATAAACCTTACATATTATATGACTTTATTTATACAGTAGTTGATAATATGAAAAACCTAACTAAATTAATTAAATTTTCATTCAATTTCTTTTACATAATTGTTAATATCAATAAACAAATCATAATAATTTAAAACTTGAATATCATATAATTTAAATTCCTCTACTTCATCTTTCTGAGAGAACAAATCTTCATCCTTTCCAATTAAAGTTTCTAAAATAGCCAAATATTTAACTCTTTTCTCTTTCATAATATATTTTTTTATGTAAGGGACAATACTACTTTTATTTACCCTATTTCTAATTACCAATTTATTTATAAAAGAATTTTGTGAATTTTTTAAAAACATTTCAAGATCATTTGTGTCAAAAATAAGTTGCAAGTATAGGTATTCTAATTTAAAAGGAAGAATTTGTCCTAAATTTTGTAATATAACAGAACTATTTTCACTATGAAATGATCTTATAAAAAGATAATTGAGATTTTGTTTAATATTTTCGATTAAATTTAATCCTAAATTAATATCATTCCGATTATTTATTCCAGCAAATAATTGTAATAACTTAATTTTATTACAATATCTTATAGCTAATTCAAATATTTCTTTTAATGATTGTGAATTACCAATGCTACCAAAATTTTCTAAATAATTACCAGATTTTTGTATAAGGAATTTTAATGATTCAACTTGTAAAATTTCTTTCAAAAATAAAGTTTTTAATTTAAATGGTTTAGTGATATTATTAATTTGTTGAATAAAGTTAGAATCCAGAGAACGACATTTAATAATATGAATTGATTCTAAAACATTCAATTGATTGAATACTTCACCTAAAACAGTTATATTTTTAAAATCAATAAAATGAAATATAATTGTGTTTAATTTATTTGAAAAATTAGGATTTAATAATAAGTGATATGAGAGGGAATAATTACAACTAAATGAAATCTTTTTAAGATTTTCTTGAGAATTAATAATTTGTGATAAACATTTTTCGATTGGATAATTAATGTTAAATGATGGAAATAAAAAATAAAGTGATGAAATTGAATTACAATTAGAATGAATACATCCTAAAATTTTTATTATGTTATCATTCTTAACATAAAAATCCAATCTAAAATTTTTAATATTATAAATGAAATTCGGTTTTTGTAAAATTAATTCAAAAATCTCATTAAAATATTTATGTTCTCTATAATAATGTAACGTAATTTCAAAACTATTTAAATTTACTTCATTTTCAATGAATATTAAAAATAATGATTTATAAATTAATTTTGTAAAGTTTGATTTTTGTGATAATGATAATTTTATATTTTGTATAAAATAATTAGATTTAGTTGAATTTCCGATAGTATCAACCCATTTTACGACGGAGGAACAAACTTTAGATGTATTTAAACGTTGAATAAAATTAGAATAATTAAATAACGTATTTGAAGGAAATATATCCTTTTGAGTTAAATATTCTTCTAGTTTTATTTTGTAATCATCGTTTAGTTTATGTAAGTAAATTTCAATAAAGTGATAATTTTTAGGAAATTTCATTGAAAATGGATCTTCCCATAATAATGGGATTGCTATACGACACCATAATCTATTAACTAATATACATGAATGTAATGTTTTATAATCATAATGAAAATATTGTATAGCCTCGTTTACTAACTCAGGTAAATCTCCTGAAAATAACTTTGAACATGTCATGTTGTTAATAAGTACAGAGAAAAGGGGATTCTGAAATTAAAAATATTTATCATGGGAATTTCGCACAAGTTATTGTAGATCTAAAAATTTTGTGCGACAAATATCGGCTACCAGAAATGACGTCATTTCTCGAGTCTAGATTACTAGATGTTACACATTTCCTTTTGGGATAGGCTTAATGCCGACCAGAATTATGTTGTAATTTTAACTTTTCCTATGACCCGGCTCCCGAAAATTAGATGACGTCATTTCTGCCCATCCACTAATTTTCCAAAAAGATTTGCACAGTACCACCCGCCGCTTGTCAATAGATAATCGTCATACATATCCGCCGACTTGCAATTTTGTAAATTTATCAGTTTTAAATGACATTTCACAACCTGATCAAATCCGTACTAATCATTGATTTTACAATAAATTTCGGTTGAGAGTTAAGTTTTGGGTTTTATTTTTGATCTTTCTTTTTTTTTTATTGAAACTTTTCTTTTATTAAAGTCAACGCTTTTTTTAATACTAATTTAATTTCTTTTTATATTGGAATGTTTTTACTAATTAATTTTTGTTAATTTAGGAAATTGAATAGTGATTTTACAGACTTTTTTTGTATCTGGAGGGAAAGATTTTTATTTTTTTTTTATATTATTAATGTTTGATTTTTTCTTTTTTCAAGATTACGTAATATTTTTGGTTCTTTTTAGTGAGGTGCTGTAACCATCTAATCTATATATTTTATACTATGTTTATATGCTGATAATTAGTTGATACTGAATGTTTTAAATTTTTTATTTAATTTTTTTTTAACAAGCGAAGTCTTATGTGAATTTACCTAGTGATTTTCTGCAGATCGACGGATATGATTTCTTCTATTTTTTGCATTTCTATTTGTATTAATTTATTAGATTTACAATAATTAAATCAATTGTTATATTTTGTAAAATAAAAAATAATTGAATCCAAAGAACCAATTTTTTTATTAAAAAAATCATTTTTAAATCAAACTTCGTTACATTAAGTATTCAGAAATATACCATACAATAATCCAGGTCGGAACCTGGCTAAAACCTATAAAAATATTGAAGAAATATTAATAAAATGTTGCAAAAAAAAAAAAAAAAAATTTGCAGATTTTGAAGTTAAATATTTGCAATTTTATAATTCCGTAATAGTCCACAATTTTGTTAATTGCGATATCACAATTGATACAGTATTGATTCATCGCAAAAATAATCAATTATTTTTTGAATTTTTATTAATACAAGTAAAAAAAAAAATTTTCATTAATAAAATTTTTTAAAAGAATAATTTTGTGTTAAAAAAAACGAAATCAGATGGTTAATTTGATTTGTTTTTTAATAAAAATTTTATTTTGAATCTTATCAATAAATTTTATTTACTATCAATAAAAAGTAATAAAATTTCTCTAGAATCACTAACTTCGGACTTCGGAGAAGACTTCTTTAGCTTTTTGTCCGTAACCACGTTCCCCTGGTTTCTTTCTGTGACGACTCTTTCGAAGACCTTTTGCCAGGAGAATTCTTCTCTGGTGTTTGTTGACCATTCTTTGGCTATCTAGATATTTATCCAAATATGTGAAGGGTTACCAATCATCCTCGTGGGTTTCCAAAGCCTGCAATCTTGAGATGCTACTTATTTTGTTTTTTGATTGTCATCGAGATAGTATTCCTCCATTCCGTTAATTTAAACTTTTTTTCGGAATCAAGGATATTGGTATATCGTAAATCATAATGACTCGGATATTCGGCTTTATTTCTTTCGAGTAATGATGGATTTGCGCATCGTGCTTTTTTGGACGATTTGGTTGGGTGTTGATCATTCTTTTCTTTCCCTACCGTGACTCGGAAATTTCATCCTCATGACTTTTGATTGGTTCATCTCCTTTTCTAATTCTATTACGTTCGGTAGTAATGTAGTACTCTCCTGTTACGGTTGCTGCGGTGATTGCGTTTCATTTTGTTCTTTTCGTCCAAAGAAGAACCTGTAGCGAGGTTAGCTTTATGTGTTCTATATCCTATGCAAGCGCTGTCGCTGGCATAGGCCTCTTTCATTAGCACGGCAAGGCAGCGTTTAGAGGGCTAGCTTGTGGTCCAAAGGATTTTACAAGTTCTCTTGGCATCATCTAATAATATTCTATAAAACTCTTTGCATATTCTTTCATAGATTTTTTTCCTTCCGGACAGTTTGTTCCATGGTTATATGTTGTTTTGGCATTTTTTTAAAAAAAAATAAAAATTTTTTTTTACTGCGGTTTGTTAATAAATATTAAACAAACAGGAAAGAAATTTTTTTTTATTTCATTTCCTAGTATACAGATATCTGACAAAAACTAGCATTAATTATTATTGAAAGGTGTCTTACATATTATTTAATATGAGTATAAAAAATCTAACAAAAATAAATTAATCTATTTTATTTTTTAATTATCACTAAATTATAAGGATTGAATGATCTTTTCTGATTTTTTTTCCTTCCCAATTTAATGGTTTTTAACTTATCTCATTAAATTAAAATTATTATTAATACTACAACAGTGTTACATTTCATCAAATTCGGATACAATACATATAAATTAAGCTTAATTAACTTTAATATTTTTCTAATTTTTGCCAACCGTAATTATATTAATATTATTTGTTATTTTACTCATTTATGAAAAATATAATAGCAAGATAAAATAAAACGTCAAAAAAAATTAATTATTGGTTTACTATATTTTTTGGTTAATTTTTGCGTTAAATAACTTGCATATGAGTGTATATTAAATTATAATTATAAAATTCTAAATTATATATATATATATTTTTTAGACACTTTATAGCGTAAATTTGAATGGTTTAAACATAATTAAGGTTCGTTGTTTTAAAAAAAGGTTGCACTTTTTTCGTGGTTGCACTACATTAGATGTATCACGGTCATACTTGTCGCTCATATTCCAAAAAGGAAATTACAATAATAAATGATCGGCGAGTACATTGTTACAATTTCCTTTTTTGAAAATGAACGACCAAAACACAATCATGTTTATTATTAATTTTTTTTAAAACAATATGAATCTTATTTACTATTATAACAGTTATGTTGCCGATTTATTATATTTTTGGAAAATTAAAACCGGAAACTCCCAGATAAGATCTTTGTGTAAATGATATACAATACTTATATATATTCGCATCCCTAAATATTACAAATTATTTTCCACTCATTTATTTTGTATTTTGTAATTAATCAGGATGTAAGTAAATCATTTTTTAAAATCAAAGTTTCATAATTATTTTGTCATTAGATAACACTTCATTTCCCTAATCAATTACTGATCAATTATAATTCAATTAATCAGGGAGTAAGTAAATTATTTTAAAATCAAAGTTTAATAATGATTTTGTCATTAAATAACACATCATTTCTCTAATCATCACAATTCAATTAAATTACCAGTGAGTGAGTATTAACTTTAATAATAATTTTTAACATTAAAGTTTCTGTCATTAAATAACACATCATTTTTTTAATAAAATCATTGATTAATCATAATTCAATTAAATTACCAGACGGTAAATGCATCATTTTAAAATCAAAGTTTCATAACAATTTTATCATTAATCATTCTCTAATCAATTGCTGATCAATCACAATTCAATTAAATTACCAGACTGTGAGTATAAGATTTTGTGATTATTTTTAAAATCAAAGTTTATCATTGAATAACACTTCATTTCTAATCAATCACAAATCAATTAAATTACCAGATGGTAGGTGCATCATTTATAAAACCAAAGTTTCATAATAATTTTGCCATTGAATAACACTTTATTTCTCTAATAAATTAATCAATCATAATTCAATCATCAGGGAGTAAGTAAATTATTTTAAAAATTAAAGTTACATAATGATTTTGCAATCCATTTCCCTAATCAATTACTGATCAATCATAATTCAATCATAATTCAATCATAATTCAATCATCAGGGAGTAAGTAAATTGTTTTTAAACCAAAGTTTCATAATGATCTTGTCATTAAATAACACTTCATTTCTCTAATCAATTACTGATCAATCACAATTCAATTAAATTTACCAGACTGTGAGTATAAAATTTCATGATCGTTTTCAAAATCAAAGTTTTATAATGATTTATCATTGAATAACTCTTCATTTCACTAAACAATTATTGATCAATCACAATTCAATCATCAGGGAGTAAGTAAATTATTTATAAAATCAAAGTTACATAATGATTTTGCAATTCATTTCCCTAATCAATTACTGATCAATCATAATTCAATCATAATTCAATCATCAGGGAGTAAGTAAATTGTTTTTAAACCAAAGTTTCATACCGATTTTGTCATTGAATAACACTTCATTTTTCGAATCAATTATTGATCAATTACAATTCAATTAAATTACCAGATCGTGAGTATAAAATTTCATGATTATTTTTAGAATCAAAATTTCATAATGATTTTGTCATTAATAACATGTAATTTCTCTAATCAATTATTGATCAATCAAATTCAATTAAATTACCAGACTGTGAGTATCAGATTTCATAATCATTTTTAAATCAAAGTTTCATAATGATTTTATCATTGAATAACACTACATTTCTCTAATAAATTACTGATCAATCATAATTAAATTAATCAGAAAGTAAGTAAATTATTTTTAAAATTAAAGCCTCATAATAATTTATCATCAAATAACACATCATTTCTCTAATCAATTGCTGATTAATCACAATTTAATTAAATTACCAGAGGGTAAGTGCATCATTTTTAAAATCAAAGGTTTATAAATGATTTTATCATTTTATCATTGAATAATAGTACTTCATTTTTCTAATCAATTACTGATCAATCACAATTCAATTAAATCACCAGATTGTAAGTATTGGATTTCATGATCATTTTTTAAAATCAAAGTTTTATAATGATTTTGCCATTAAGTAATATTTCATACTCTAATCAATTACTGATCAATCACAATTCATTTAATTACCAGACTGTAAGTATAA